CACGTCTGCAAGGACAGTGGAGTGTCTGCCGTGGGCCTCTGCTCCCCCAAAACCAGGGCAGGTGATCTCCCAAGCTGCCCCGACCTCCCACCTGGCTGTAGAGGAGCTCCACCTGCAGAAGTCAGACCCCACCCCACCCCCACCCCCACCCCCCGGGGCAGCAGGTGAAACTCTTCCCCCTGCAGCCTGCAGGCCAGGGAAGAACCAGGAGGGAGCACGACACAGCAGAGCGAGCGGCAGGCGGGCCCGGCTGTCCTCTGCCCCGTGCGTGCGGGGACCCTGGCCACCATGCAGCACGGTCCACAGCTCCAGGCCGCCTCCCTGACGGCTGCTGGGAGGACCAGCCCCCAGAGCCCTCTCCCCACTTGCTTCCTCAGACGTCCAGCTCCAGGAGGGCTGTACAGCGCAGGCCCCGGGACCCGTGAGCTGTGGCTGCACCCACACACTCGGGCAGGCCCCTCTCAGCTCCAGCTCCCTGCAGCAGCTGCAGGTTGGAAGCAGATCTCCAGGGCGGGGCTCTCACCGGGGCCATCCTGCCCCCAGGAACAGTGGGCGACACCTGGGGACATCTGCGGCCATCACGACTGGAGAGCCCTTGGCACCAAGTGGGTGGGGCCAGGGAAGCTGTTCAGCCCCCACAGCACCCAGGACGCCCCCCAGAGAGTGATTCACCCAATGTCATCAGTGCCGGAAGAAAGGGAGCAGGGATAGAAAGTGTCCTCAGGGGGCGCCTGGGTGGCTCAGTTGGTTAGGCGACTGCCTTCAGCTCAGGTCATGATCCTGGAGTCCCGGGATCGAGTCCCGCATCGGGCTCCCTGCTCACCAGGGAGTCTGCTTCTCCCTCTGACCCTCCCCCCTCTCATGCTCTCTCTCTCTCAAATAAATAAATAAAATCTTTAAAAAAAAAAAAAAAAAAGAAAGTGTCCTCAGCATAAATTTCCAACAGGCCCATCAGTGCAGCTTACAGAAAAAGGAGGCAGCCCCCGAGTGGGGGCCAGCAGACTGGGGGTCAGCAGTGAGCGGGTGCTGAGACCTCGCACCACCCTCCCCGCTGACGTCAGAGCAGAGGCAGGAGGGAAGGTGCTGGTGGGGCAGAGGGCCCTGGGGCCTGCCGCCCGGGACCATCAGCTCTCCCGGCCCTACTCCCGCATGCGGAGCCGCTAGGGGGGTTGACTGGGGGTGATCTGTGAGACCCAGCACAGCCTCCTGCATGGCGTGGTAAAGACATCGGTATCCTGTCACAGACCCGGAATTACACCCACGACCATTTCTAGAAGCAGTGAGAGAGGCCTCAGGTGTCTGTGTCCCAACGAACCACACCCGTCTCTCCCGGAAGCCCCCAGCCTTTCTGGACATCTCTGTCTAGGATTTTTTTTTTTTTTTTTTTTACATTTTATTTATCTATTTGACTGAGAGACACAGCGAGAGAGGGAACACAAGCAGGGGGAGAGGGAGAAGCAGGCTTTCCACAAGCAGGCTCTCCGCCGAGCAGGGAGCCCAATGCGGGGCTCCACCCCTGGGATCACGACCTGAGCCGAAGGCAGACGCTTAATGACTGAGCCACCCAGGCGACCCTCTGGGATTTCTAATCCCTGAGGCACACAGGTGAACCTGGGGAGACTGAAATGTCCCCCAGGCCCTCTGGGGGGAAGCCTCTAGAAGCACCGCCCCACCGAGGGGTGCTGTCTGGAGCTCCCACGGCCACAGGCCTGCAGAAGGGCTCTGCCGGGCCCACTCCCTGTCTGGCCAGCCAAGGCTCGCTCCTTGGGGCGGCCACCCTGCTCACTCAGCACCCACCGGCCGGGCCCCGGGAGCACAGCAAGCAGAGGCCGCGATGACAGGCACAGCCACGGGGAGCGCTGCACTGGAAAGTGACACCGCCCTCAACCCCCGGCCACAGCGAGGACAGTCACCCGCTCGCTAAGACAGGGGACTCAGTCTCCAGACCTAAAACCAGATGAGGTGCCACCTCAGAGGGTACAGATTTCCAGATAATAGAAGCTTACCTTTAAACACAATTTTCTTAAGACTCTAAGATGTCACAGACCTACATGAAACCAGGTAACGACGTATTATGCCCATTTCTATGTCTTAAACAGTGACTGCCCACCCCAGGGCCGCCTTGGATCCTGCTGTGACCCTGGATGGCCCAGGACCCACCCAGGAGCTACCCGGATTCTGGCAGGAAGCTCTGACTGGCGTGGAAAATGCAGGCACCTTGCCCACCCGCCAAGAACGCTCTGCTGGACTGGAGCTTCAGGGTGGGGGTGGGGGGCACTGCTGATTGGAACCTCAGGAGATCCAACCTAAGAGCCACCTTTGCATCCCAGGTCTGGTGTATTAGTTAATTTGACTTCTGACACACGCCAAAAGCAACTTACAGAATAAAACTGTTCTGTAACCTGACATTTAACCGTAGATATTGCTGAGCTCCCAGAAGAAAAAGGACCCATCGCAAGGGGGAAGGCTCCCAAAAATGGGCCTCCAGCTGCCCTCTGAGGGTGAGCAGAGCATGCAGGAGGCCTTCAGGGGAGGGGACCCCAGACAGGGCCTGGAGAGGGGCCAGACCAGGCCTGTTCTGAGCAGGAAGACTGGGTGGGGGTTTTGGGGCAAGGATTTACCACCTGCCAGAGTGCCCCCGACCCTGTGCAGGACCCCCACACCACAAGGGCCCTGTGTGAGCATGGCGTAGGCCAAAAGCATCTGTGGACGCCGGGGCAACAGGGCAGGCCAACACCCAGGGGATGGGGAGGAGAGATGAAAGCCCCCAACCAGCAGGAGCCCCAGGAACTCCCACCACACCCACACCTGCTTGGACCGGTCCTGCCTGGCACCACGCACACCAAGGGGCAAAGGCGTGCATGCTGGCCTCGTCAGGGCCCAGGCCTCCATACTCAGCAGGTTACTCCGGACTCTGCTTCCTCACCCGCACAACAGGGACTTGGGAGGCCGCCCAGCATGGCCCCCCAAAAGGGAAGGGGGCAGACCGGAAGCCATGCAAGGTAGGGGCCTTCCAGACCCACCAGGCCTTGGCTTGGCTGTCCCTTTCCCTGAAGGCCCACTGACTACCACATGGAAAGACTCGACCTGTGGGAACACTCCCGACGAGTCGCCGGAGCACCCTGCGGCCTAGCTTGAGCCAGCAAGGCACTGACGTGGACCACAACCCCAACCAGCATGCCCATGCGCCTTCACGAGCGCCTGTCTCCCCATCGAAGCTGGCCAACAGAGCCATGCTGACCTGCCCAGTGCCACCAGAGGCCGGAAGGCTGGTGGCCCCCAGCACCCAGTGCCCCACAGCCCCACCTCTCCTGCTCCTTCCCCAGCCCTCTGCCCACCACCTGATCTATGGCCTTGACGGGCTTCGAGCTCCTCCTAGGAGGACACAGGGCCCCAACTGCTCACCCCTGGGTTTTCAGGGCCCACCTGGAAAGAACCTGCCAAGACAGAGATCCAACCCCACCACAACCAGGATGAGGGACCCCACTGTTCATGAGGTGGCGTGGGGGCTGGGAGGAAGGGGGAACGCAACAAAGTCAACTATGGGACAAGGAGTTACGGGACATCCCAGGGGAAATGCCACCGTCCTTAAGTACAGCCTTGAGGGAACCAGGCCAGGGGGGCCCCCAGGCCTGTCCCAGGAAATCCCCACGGACACAAGTGACCCCATAGGTGTCTAATGCCTCCTGGGGGGCATACTGGCTTCCCCAGAGCTGGGATGAGCAGACAGGAAGGCTTTAACTTTAGAAAAAAAAACAAAAAAACAACCCTCACCTACTTCCTCTTGCAACCCAAGGATAATTACTATGTAATTAAGAGGAGAAGGAGAAAAATCAGCTGGAACCAGAACCAGCAGTTCAAAGAGTCTGTCTTCACAGAGGCTCCGTCAACACAGAGCGAGGACACGCCCAGAGCCAGGTAACGAGACACTCATCCCCGATCCGCTGGAGAAAATGAGAAGTAACCAAAATGAGACGCGAAGCCCCTTTACACAAGAAGGTCCAAGCGCCAGCTTCAGACAGCAATGGCCCCTGCAAGGCTCCTGGGGTTCTGTCCACCCCAGGCGGGGCAGGTGTGTCCAGCGGCTCCTCTCAGACCTCCCTCCCCACCCCCACCACACAGGTCACACCCGCAGCGCGGCACCCCGCTGGCCCAGGACCCCTGCCCCTCGCAGCACCCAGGCCCTCCCCCTTCCTGCTCTCAGACATCCCCCGGAGGGGGAACAGAACACCTGGGGTGTGCGCAGCCAGTCCCCACCCACCAGCCTGCCCATCTGCCCGCAGGGCCCAGCAGTCCCTTTCCTGGGGCACAATCTGGTGAAGACACAAGCGGAAAAACAAAAACTACCAGCAAAACCGCAAGCCTCCCCCTTTCAGACCTGTGGGCCTGGCTCCCAATCTGTTCTTGTCAAGAGCCACCTCCTTCAGTGACCAGATAAAGTCCCTGCGGACAGTACCCCCCATACGGGAGGCTTTGTGCTCCCACTCATCTCTCACTCCCACGAGCTGCAGGAGCCTGTGGGGCTGGGAAACGCCAACTGAGGCCGGCCACGTCCTCCAGGCGAGGACCGAGGATCCACGGAGCCGGAGACGCACTGGACCGAGCCCCAGCGCAGGGACGATGTGTGGGCACCCCGAGTCAGACACTGGCCAGAGGGACTGGGGACAACGCGCTGGAGCCCAGCGCGGCCACTGCCCACAAACAATACCGTCCAGAGGCCAAGAGCTCCCAAGCCTACCTCGGACGACTGCCCGCAGCCCCCACCAAGAAAGCTTCCCTGAGAAAGTTGGGGCAGGAGGGGGCAGGGAGGAGATCAGTGCGTCCACCGCCCCCAGGCGCACAGACATCGCACCCCCTCCCTGATCCAAAGTGTTTCCGGAAAACAAAACCGGTGGCGCGGGCGGAAAGGGGAGGGCACAGCCACACCGAGGCGGCGGTTCCTAAGCAGTGCCCTGCAACAGGTCACCGCGGACGAGACCCCTCCGGCCGCGTGCCCCTTCCCCGCCGTCCCTGCTCTCCCCGCAGGGCCCTCCAGACCACAAAGCCAGGAACGGGTGGGCGGGGGCAGGAGCCCAGGGTGGAAGGGTGGACGTGGGGGGACAGGGGAGTGGGCAATGGGCCCCAGCCCTGGGGAGCAGGGAAGGGGACAGCGGGGGTCAAGTCGGGGCCACTGGAGGACCGCAGAGTCTGCAGCGAGGGGCCGGGGAGGCCGCTGGGCCCGGAGCGAGGCATCAGCGAGGCCCGTGAGGTCTGCGGTGGGGGCGCCAGCGGGAGCGCGAGGCGGCCAGGCCCGAGTTTGGGGGAAGGGGGACAGCGTGCAGAGGACCGGAGCGAGGAGGCGGCGTCGGAAGGTGGGAGTCGGTGGCCCGGGGGGTCAGAGGCGGGCGGACAGGGGTCCGCAGGTGCGGGCCCGGCGGGCGGGACGCGGCCGCGGGGCCGGGGGGCCGCGGGGCCGCGGGGCCGTGGCAGCGGCGAGGGCGCGCGCGTCCTTACCTCGGGGCCTCCGCCGTGGCCGTGGCCCGCGGCCGGCCGGGCAGCGTCCCGGGCTCCCTCAGCAGCGCGGCGCGGGGCCCCGCTGCGGGCCCCGCTCGCGCTGCGGCTCCGGCTCCAGCGCCCGCTCGGGCCCCCGCTCCCGCTCCCGCACCTCCGCCGCCGCCGCCGGCCTCCGCATGTTGGCGCGGGCCGTCCCCGCCGCGCGGGCGCCCGGCTCGCCCCGGTCTCGCAGCGTCGCCGCGGCCCGCGCTTACGCCCCGGCGTCGGGGGAGGGCCCGCGCGCACTGCGCAGCCGCCGTCGGGCCCGGGCGCAGGGGCCGCGGCGCGGGGCGGGGCTTGGCGGCCGCGGGCGCCGCCGCACGACGGCCGCCGCGCTTTGCGGCCGCTCCGGGAGGGCCGGGCCGCGGCCCGCGGGGGCTCCCGGAGGCGCGCGGCCGGCGGGGTGGGGTGCGGTGGGGCGCGCGCGCGCGTGCGAGGAAGGAGCCGGGCCGCGTCCGCCCTCCCGGGGGGCGGGGCTCCCGCCTTGCGGCGGGCCCGCCCGCCGTTGCCATGGCGACGCGTGGCCGGCCGCCCCGCCGCGCTTCTGTGACGTCACGGTCTCGCCACCTGACGCCACGGCCGGGCGGAGGCGCGGGGCGGGGCCTCGGGGTCCTGGCGTCGGGGCGGGGCTCGCTCGGCCGGCGGGAGCCCGCGGCGGCGGGCCGGGGCGGTGGGCGGCGCGCGGGGCAGGCCCACCGAGGCAGGCGCCCCTGCGGGGTGGAACGCCGATCGGGCCTCCCGGGGAGCCCCCAGGCCTGCGGGCGCTCAGGCGGTTTCGGGAGGTCCAGTGGGGCCGCGTGGGGCAGAGCGACCCGAGCTCAGCCCGGCACGAGGACGCAGATGGGATCAGATGCTCGGGCTGTGGTCCCGCTGGTGGCGGGCAGACGGGAGGTTCGGGAAGGGGTGGGACGGAGGCTCAAGCTGGAAGGGCCGGCGGCAGGGTGTGGTGGGCGGCCAGGCCAGGCCCTTGGAGAGGCTGGCCTCGGGGACCGAGGACGCCAGCCACCGCCACTAACCACCTCAGTCTGTACTTTCTCGTTAAGTTCTTGCGGCTTCTCTCTCAACTCGGACAGAAGCCCTGCAGGCGAAGCGTCCCCCGATGGGATCCAGAGCTGCCCCCGCAGGAGCAGTAAGGACTGCCCTGAGCCAGCAGGACCCTGATGGGCTGGACGTGACTGCCCACCGCACGACCCACGGGCCTGCCTCCCGCGGTCTCCTTTTAGAAACCTGGCAGTATTTTCCCCGTTTGGGAGACAGTCTGGAGACGTGAGTCGGCGGTCTCCCCAGTGTCGGCCTCCCTGAAATAAATGTTTTACCACCGCTCGTTTCTCTGCCTTTGGATTTTGCCAGCAGCCAGTGGCTGAACCTGGTCTGTTTGGGACTCTCGGAGCCAATGTTCTTGCATCCCCGTGTCCTGTCCTTCTTCAGTCCCACGCGCAACGTCACCACCTCCAGGAAGCCCGGGCCACATCCCCGTGCTGCATCCCCTTTCTCACTGCATCCTGACCCTCTCCGGCCTGAGCCTCCCCACGGAGAACTGTTTGCCTAAAATCAGCCTCCTCCACAATGCAAGCTCTTGACAGTTGCTCAGTGGATTACTAGGAAAGAGGGAGGGAGGAAGGGGGGAGAAAGGAACGGAAATAGGGGGGAAAATCCACCCTGTCCCCCAGCAATACCAGGCCAGGGACCACATCTGCTTTAGCTCACTGCTGCATCTGTGCACCCAGTAGGCCCTCAGTCTGTGTGTGGCAAATGATTGAATGAATGAAAGAATGCACCAGCGAACTTCACCGTCCTCCCGGATTCTGGAGAATCGGGGTTTTATTTCGTCAGAACTCCTGGCCCCATCTGTCCTCCTCTCTCACTCCTTCGGGAAATCTGCTCTCTGGTGCTCCACTCCCAGGGGGTCAGGAGGCACAGTTGCCTCTCCTCTAGAGGTATTTGAGCTTTCAGTCGGAGCTGCAGCCTTACCCCTGTAAAAAGCAGCGTCCCAGGCAGCCGAAAGGACATGGAAAGTGAGGCCAAGGCTGGGGTGTTGCCAGGAAAAGGCTGTGTGACTACGCGTGGGTTGCTGGCCCTCTCTGGCCCTCCGCATCCTCGTCTGTAAGGTGGGACTCTCCATAGCCCCCTCAGGTATATCATGGGAATTCATGAACTCATGAATAAAGAATTGTCAGCGGAACATCTCTCTCTCTCAAATCACTTGGAGTCTTTGAAAAAGCAAACAGCCTTTTGTGTTTCCCCTTTTTTAACCCACTTTGAATGTGGCCCGCAGGTGCCTGACCCCTTCTAGCTTTGATCATGGGGACACCATTTGGGGAAGCTGGTGTGGGAAAGGGCCCCGTTGGGGTTCTCAGTGCGGTAAGAACCTTGTAAAGAGGGGTGCCTGGGTGGCTCAGTCGTTAAGCGTCTGCCTTCCGCTCAGGTCGTGATCCCAGGGTCATGGAATGGAGCCCCGCATCGGGCTCCCTGCTCCGCGGGAGTCCTGCTTCTCCCTCTCCCACTCCCCCTGCTTGTGTTCCCTCTCTCGCTATGTCTCTGTCAAATAAATAAATAAAATCTTTAAAAAAAAAAAAAGAACCTTGTAAAGAGGTTGAGCTGGTTGCCCCGTTGCCCATCCCCCCACCTGGGAAAGCCAAACAAAATCCCAGCCTCCCCATAAATCCCAAACAGCTGTGGATTTCAGGGAGGAGGTGGGCAGGCAGCGACCCCTTGTGTTCCCTTACCCCTGGAGGCAGGCCCATCTCCCTGGAGAGACCCCGGGGGGGCCGGAACAGGCCAGCGCACTGACACAAGCAGGTGCCCCGGTTCACTTTTGTGGAATTGGGTTGGATTCGTGCTGCCTGCAGCCAGGCCTCTCCCCCCGGCCCCCACCGTGGGGGCAGGGAGGCAGACGGGCACATGCCCATTTTCGAGAAGTGTTAACAGGTTTACAAAGGAGGGGTGACTTGCCCACGGTCCCCTGGCTTCGCACCTGCAATGCTGCAGCCCCCCACCGGTTCTGAGGGTGGCCCAGCACCCCCATCCCACGCCAGCCGCTGTGGTGGAAGAGAACGCGCATCCCGAGCTGGGGCAAGTCAACGTTCTCGCGGGATGGTGTGAGCTCAGGAGGGGAAACCGAGGCCAGGAGACACGCAAGCGGCAGCGAGGGGCAGCGCGTGAGCAGAAGCCCAGCCGTCTGCGGGAGAGAGCGCAGGGCTCCCGGGCGGAACTCCCCACCCGGGGCTCTCCCGTCCGCGGAGAACGGACCCCAGCCGCCAGGGCTGTACCATGTGACCCCCCAGCCGCCTCTGATTGGCCCAGAGCAAGCCCATCCAGCTCCGTCTCCGGGGCTGCTGAGCGGGAGGGGTCCCAGACGGTGGTGGTCCTCTGCCGTCGTGTGGCTTCGCAGGCGTCTGCCTCCCGCGGTGCTCAGACGCATTGCAGGTGCACAAGCGCCCGGCGCGCCCAGGCCTCCTGGGACCCTCCGTGCTAAGACCGGGAAAGCCCCGCAAACCTGAGCAGGGGACGGCAATGTGTCACACGTCACCGAAGATCCCAGATGAGGAGCTCCCTGACCCCACTCCTAGGGGTCCAAGGCCTGGGCGAGGTACAGAGTGGAATAGTGCCTCCTCCAAACGCACATCCACCTGGAACCTCAAAACGGGACCTTATTTGGGGGCGCCTGGGTGGCTCAGTTGGTTAAGCAGCTGCCTTCGGCTCAGGTCATGATCCTGGAGTCCCAGGATCGAGTCCCGCATCGGGCTCCCTGCTCGGCGGGGAGTCTGCTTCTCCCTCTGATCCTCCCCCTCATGCTCTCTTATCTCCCATTCTCTCTCTCAGATAAATAAATAAAAAATCTTAAAAAAAAAAAAAAAGGGGGACCTTATTTGAAAATAGGGTCTCTGTGGAGGTGATGAGTTGAATTCAGACGAGGTCACGCTGGATTAAGGTGGGCTCTAACTTAACGGCTGGTGGTGTTATAAGAAGAAGATACACGGGGCGACTGAGTGTCTCAGTCGGTGAAGCACCTGACTCAGATGGGGCTCAGGTCATGATCTCGGGTCCTCGGATCAAGCCCCTCGTCAGGCTCTGCGCTCAGCACGGTGTCGGCTGGAGATTCTCACCCTCAGCCCCACCCTCTGCCCCTCCCCCACGCGTACTCACTCTCTAAAATGGATTTTTTTAAAAAAGATTTTATTTTGACAGAGAGAGAGACACAGCGAGAGAAGGAACACAAGCAGGGGGAGTGGGAGAGGGAGAAGCAGGCTCCTGGCTGAGCAGGGAGCCTGACGCGGGGCTCGATCCCAGGACCCCGGGATCATGACCTGAGCTGAAGGCAGACGCTTAACGACTGAGCCACCCAGGTGCCCCAAATCTTTTTTTTTAAATAAGGAGGAAAACAACGAAGAGAGAGTGGACACTGGAGGGGGTCAGCCACAGGCCGAGGGACTTCTAAAGCCCCAGGAGCTGGGAGAAGCTGGAAGGACCCTCCCCTGGAGCCTCCAGAGAGAGCGTGGCCCCGCAACACCTTGATTTCAGGCTTCTGGGCTCCAGAATTTAGGAGGATGAATTGTTTCAGGCCACCCAGTTTGTGGTACTTGGATGTGGCAGTCCCAGGAAACTCCCATAGATGTGGACCCAGATCGGCCATTGTTACAGGTTGAACTGTGGTCCCCGAAAAGATATGTGGAGATTCCAGGCCCCCATACCTGTCCGAGGACAAGGGGTCGCGGGGTTGGTTCCTGCTGAGGGAGAACCTGTCCCAGGCTCCCCCAGCTTCACGGGGCTTCTCCCTGTCTGGGTCCACGTGTCCCCTTTTTATTGTCATATTGGGTTGGAACCACTCTACGCCTTATGGTCTCACCTTACCCTGAAAAATTACTCCTTCGATGACCCTGTTTCCAAAGAAGGTCACCTCCTGGGGTCCTGGGGGCTAGGACTTCAACATATGAACAGAAGGGTACGCAATTCAACTTGTCACAAAACACACAGAGGTATGCACACATCCATACACGCACACAGACCAGCACCCACTGCGCTCCACCTGAGGGCAGAGCCCAGGCCCTCCAAGCCCCAAACACGGAGGGACAGCCTGAGACAGGTCTGTGCCTCCTGAAGGGTCCCAGAGGGACTGAGCCTCGACTGCTCGCGGCTGTGACCAGCTCATTGACGCCTCCCTACTGACCCCTGCGCGCTTGTCTCCCTGATAAACCTTTTGCCCCCAATCTTTACATTGGGCCCAAACAGGTCACAACAGAGAGAACCCAGCCACCCTCTCTGCAAAAATGAAGAATGCCACTCACCCATTTTTCTAAAAAAAAAAAAAAGTTATTTTTTAATGTTGAAGCATAATGTACAGATTTTTAGATGACATTAATAAATGTTAAATTTTGTCTTAAATTCTAATAAGACTATTAGTATTCAGCTGGGAGAGGCAGGAAGGGCCCTTCCCTGGAGTCTGCAGAGGGGACGCCGCCCCGTGAACACCGACAGCTCAGACATCTGGCCCCCAGGACGCAGGAGCGCTGAGCCCCCCAGTCCGTGGTCATAGGTGATGCCGCCAGCATCCTGCTGTGGATCCCGCTCCGCCCCCCCAGAAGGTGGGAGGAGAGACCCCTGCAGCTTCAACCCTGAGCCCGCGGTTCTTTGATGTGGCCGCCCAAAGGGTCCCTTTCTCAACTTGGGCCTTGGTCTCTCAACTCCAGCCCCATCCTGCGTCTTTACAGGTCACCTGGGAGCTCGGGGCACACACATCCCCGCACCCGGGCCCTGTTTCCCCCCTTCCTGCCCTGTCGCCAGTCCGGTCCCCCCGCCCAGCCCAGGGACACCCGCTCCCCGTCCACCCCTGCAATCTGCATCCCACACATTGACAGGTGCATCCCCACAGCACACCCCACCCCACCCCACCCCACCTCCTGGTTCACTGCTCTAGCATCTGGGGGTGCTTCCTGGGGCCGCCTTAACCCTAACCCTCACAGTTCAGGAGCGCACAGTGTTGCAGGGCTGGTTCCTGCTGAGGGAGAACCTGTCCCAGGCTCCCCAGCTCACAGGGGGAGGTCACCGGTCATCTCGGCGTGCCTTGGCCTGTAGAAGCATCGGCCCATCTTCATAGGGTTTCTGCCAGCCTGTCTGGGTCCACATGTTGCCTTTTTATAAGGACAGCTGTCATCGCTTTAGGGCCCACCCTACTCACCTTAACTAAGTACCCTTGCGACCGCCCCATTTCCAAATAATTTCTCGTCCTGACCTGCTGGGCGCTGGGATGTCAACATGTGAATCTGTGGGGGGCTGGGGGGGGGGGGGACACAATGCAACCCATGCCGTTTGCTTGGGGTTTGGTCTGGTTTCTCTCTGTGGATCTAGTCTCCTTCCTGTGGTGGCAAAGCGTCCCGCCCTCCCTCCCGTGTCCACGTGGGGTGTCCAGGCCGTGAGCCCTGGGGAGGCCCCTGCAGCTGGGCTTCTGCGAGGCCCTCCTGTTTCTCTTGCAGCATGTCTACCATTTTTTCGTTTGGGGCAAGTGATGCTGGTTTCTCATTTTCTGTACACTTCCCTTTTTCAAGTTAAAACAGTGGAGCATAAAAAAAGCTAACTGAAAGGAAAAGCATGAAGGAAACGCACTGTGGTGGCTCACAGTACACGAGGGCGATGCTGTGCGGGGCAGGGTCACAGGCAGGGGCAGCGTGGGGGCGGCGTGGGGCCAGGGCCACAGACTCGCATGCCCCAACAGCCCCGCAGAGGCCCCGTGATGCAGGAAGGACTATGGTATTTATTTCCAGGATACTCTCCCGTAACAAAACCCACTACGAAGTAACAGAGGCGGATGTGCGTGCGGTTCTCCTACCTGGGGCCACACCTGCTCAGTCCTGTGTGCAGCAGGGGACTCGGCCCCACGGTCAGTGCAGCGCACGCCTCTCGGTCGCAGAGGCTGGCTAGGGGGTGTTCAGGGACACCCGGGAGACCCACAGCTTGAGACCTGAGAGGACCCAGGCCCGGGCGCGTCCTCAGGAACCACGGCCACCTTTGGACACCACACGGCGCCCAGCATGAGCAGCCAAAGCAAGCAAGCGTGGGTGTGAGCAAAGAACAGGGCTGCCTGGTCGGGGCTTCTGGAGAGACCGGTGTCCCGTGCAGCAGTGTATGACGCAGAGGGTCCCTGTCCTACCCCGAGACAGCCAGCCGGGAGCCGAGAGGCAGCATTCGGGGCGCCTGGGGCGCCTGGCCAGCATGGGCAAGGAAATGACGAGGGCTCTTCTGGCCGGTCAGCTCACAGGCGTGCTGCCGAGATCCCCGCGGAACATTCCAGTCCTTCGTCTCAGAAGGAGCTACGAGAGCCGGAGGGAGGTGACGTGTCGTTTAGATTGCTCACTAAGGCACAGGTTTGTCACATCTTAACTTCTAGAAGGCCACTCTCAAGAAACCCAGTCTCCTGCTTCCTGCAGCTCGAGCGAGGGCTGCGTGGCCGCGGGCTCCGAGTGGCCGGCCCACCCACTCTGCCCGCTCCTGAGGCTTTCCCTGCATCTGCAGAGGGGAGATCCCAAAGGGGTCCCGCCCCAGCCTTCAGATCCCCACGGCCCCCGTCCCCCACAAAGGGGTTCCGCCCCAGCCTTCAGATCTCGACAGGGGTCCCCTCGACGCTCCCACGGAGAGAGCCATTGTGGGCAGGAAGGCCAATGGCCCCACACAGAGCCCAGCGGGCAGACGGACAGATGCACAGGGGCTCAGATCATGGTGCCCAGGCGGCTCATCGGCCTCTGGCCGACCCCGCAGGGCCGTCCACAAGAGCCCTCTGGCTGCAGGTGGACAGGGACACAAAGGACAAGAACACGGAGGACCCAGCCAAGCCCCTCCGTCGCCCACGGGGACAGGAAGGAGGGGAGGAGAAGGGCTGAGGGTGACGCCTGGCAGAGTCCCTCTCCGTGCCATCAGCTCTGGAAGGCAGGTGGCCGGCCTGCTGCCCCTTCTCCCCGGGGAGGCCTGAGGGCGGCCCGAGACCTCCAGAGGAGGGGTATGCTATGCAGCATGGGAGCCGTCCTGCTGGGCAGCACAGGCTGGACGGTTTCTGGGTGGCGCTTGCGAGGACCTCACTGCCAAAGACAAGACGAACACAAGTGCGGGTCCCCGAGTGCTCGCAGGCTCCGCCGCCCTGGCCGGGGGAGGGGAGGGGGGCGGGCAGCGGGGCTAACCAGCCCCTCTATGGCCACTGGCTGCCGGCTACCGGGTAGCTGGGCACAGTAGGGTACTCGGGCAGGGTATTTCCCGAGAAGTTGTTGTACTGAGCCTCTCGGGACGGTGGGTTCCGCCACGCGCCCGTGTTCCACTCGGTCTGCGCCTTCTGGAAGCTTCCGCCAGCCCCCCGATAGATCCTGTGCACCTGCAGGGCAGAGGATGGGAAGGCAGAGGAGAGAGAACCCAAACTGAGCCTGTGTGTGGCGACAAGAGACCTGCTTGTGTTTAAAGCAGGCCGTCTTGGGTGAATGACAGAAGTCACAGAAACATCTTGGCAGACACGTTAGAAAATGCACCAAAGCCGACATGGCGGACTCAGAGGGCCCCACCCTGATCTACGACCACGGTCCCCCCGCTGCTGACGTGCGTGGCCACCAGCACTGCTTTCCGCCCCAGCTCCGGGGCCGGGCTCTCGGGCCACCCACCGGACACTAGCATCCCATACGTGGCCCAGTCTCCTAGGAAGACGCCCCCAGGAAGGACTGACTCCCCACTGCACCTCGGGGAACATGGGGCAGTGCTAGAAATGCTAGAAGTTCTGGAAAACTCAGCAAGTGAAAAATGGCATTTTAACTGGACGCTCTTGATGACCAGTGAAGCTGAATGCTTTCCCCGTTTCTCACAGGGATCTTTCTTCTCCTGCATGACTATTAAATATCTGTCTCTCCGACCCCTCTCGGTGGGAGTAGGGGGTATGCAAGAGAAAGCTCGCACGGCGGGCCTGAGACTTCCCTCCCCAGAGGGCGGCTCGCATGGCTGGCTCTCAGCGGCGTCTGGAACCGACTCCGGGCTCCCACCACCCTCGCTGCTGGGGGGCTCGGGTCCCTGAACCGTCTGTGCAGACACAAGGTTCGGGCTGAGCGCCTGCTCCCCTCCCAGAGTCTGGGGTCCCGACCCAAGCCGGGCAGAGGGGCCCGCAAGACCGACCCCCGCAGAACCAGGCACTGGGTCTCTGCCAGCCCCCTGGAGACCACACCTCACACACGCGGTCCCATCTCATTTGGGGGGAGCTAAGCGCGTCCTGTGGGACACCCCGGGAGAGGACTCTGGAAGCTCGCGCCTGGTGTCCCTGCCCCCGCCCCCCACGCCTCTGCCCTGAGCTCATTTGGCTTCCTATCCTCTCTGTATAAACCACGGCCATGGGGTCAACCATCTGCTGAGCCCTGGGGGTCCTAACGGCACATCCCCACGCCTGGGCCTGGTCCCAGGGATGGACACAGGGGTCCTCCCACTGTTTAGGAAAAACACACTCTATTTGAGTCCACAAATCTTTCCTCTCTAGCCCTATAAGCATTTTCAGTTAGTATTTGCTTTCTAATTTAGAATGTTTGCTGAACAGAAGTCCCCGATTGGAAACAGTCGGCTCCTGTGTGGGCTTGATCCCGGAACCGTGTTTAGATTCATTCACAGTGTGTCTCCTTTGTGCTTTCTGCAGTCCCCCCGCCCCCACCCCCGACTGTCCACACAGCTGAAAGCCTTTGGGGTGCACATATGGGGGGCGTGGAACAATGCTCCTGTCTTCCCACACAGCCGGGTGCAGGGGGAGAAAGCCTACTAAGCCGGAAAACGGGCTTTCAAAGCTAGAATCTTGTGGCAAAGGGCTAAAGAGATCCAATCACAGCCCACCACACAGCCCGTGCTGGGGCCCAGTGCTGGAGTGACGCCCCGTCCCTCTGCTTTCCCGTGGGGACTCCACGCACATCCACAGGCTCTGACCAACACCTGAGGGCTGCAGGCCTGGTGTCCACCCCCGGGAGAGCCCACAGCTGCCCACCAGCTTCTGCAGAACGAGCGTTCTGCTGCAATCTCCAAGCACCCGGGGCTGTACTGCCCACGAGAACTTTCCATGATGGTGGAGATGGCCCACCAGCCCCACGCAGCCAGCAAATACTTGAGATGACGTGGGTGTAGCGGATGCCCCTGGGTTTTCAGTTTTACTGAATTTTACTTAATGTGAATTTAACTGTACGGGGCGGCAAGTGTCTAGTGGGGCCAAATCGGGCAGCGTGGAGCACACCCGAGGCCACACACGTGCTGGGGCCTGTGGCGGGTGGTGCCCAAAGGCGGGTGTGGTCATCAGCCGCCCACACCATGCTGCTTCCCCAAGCCTGCCTGAGTAGAGGTCAGCTCGTTCCGGGACATTAAGTCTCTCGCTCCTAAAACAGGGATGAGATGAGCCCCCAGAACTCGGGGACTCAGGTGACAGGATGCATGGGAAGATGCTGGCAGTCCCAGGACCCAGGGGCCTTACCTTTATGATCGCGATGGCCATCATGGCAGCTGACATGGAGAACATGATGGCTGGAAGCAGCATGACCACAGCAGCTCCAACCCTGGTCTGGAAAAACCCGATTGCCGCCAGCCAACCACTGCAAGGGGCAAGAGAGAGCATGGGTGCCAGCACGTCGACCAAACAAGGGCCCAGCATCCTCTATATGTAAAGAGCACCAACAAATCAACAACAAAAAAATAAACGCTTAGCAGGGAAATGGGCAATTGGTACGAGGACTTGCAGGGGCCAGTGAACACACGAAACGATGCTCAAACCCAGCAACGAGGAAAACATGTAAGAACGGGGTCTCTGCGTTCCCCTGCCATGCAGGCGAGTGTGGTGTGTGCAAGGGGCTGAGGAGAGGAACCCTGCCCTGGTGGGAGCATGTCCCTCTGCGGGGACAGCGGCAGTTATCTACAAAAAGCCCTACGTGCTCGGGGCACCTGGGTGGCTCAGATGGTTAGACGTCTGCCTTCGGCTCAGGTCATGATCCTGGGGTGCTGGGATCGAGCCCCGCATCGGGCTCCCTGCTCCGCCGGAGGCCTGCTTCTCCCTCTCCCACTTCCCCTGCTTGTGTTCCTGCTCTCACTCTCTCTGTCAAATAAATAAATAAAATCTTAAAAAAAAAAAAAAAAAGCCCTACGTGCTCATTTCCTGCACCCAGCTCTCCTCCTCCTAAGAATTCATGCCCCAGAATTCCTTGTCTTCGTGAAAACCCAGGAGCATCCTCAGTGTTCACCAGCTGCAAAGAACACAGATGTCCGGGGTACCAAAGCCACTCAACGGCATGCCGAGCAGGTGTTGAGGAAGCGAGAGGGGAAAAGAGTTAAAGAGGAGTCAGCACAGCAAGACCCCACGGGACCTGCTCTGTCCTGTACACGTGTGGACGAACACCCACACTTGCCTCTTGGGGTGAGAGATGGGAAATAAGTGTATTTTGGGATTTTATTTTTCTGAACAGGTAATAAAAATACACAGCTCGACCTCCAGGGACTTAGAAGAATGTACAGTAACTAGGAAGTTAGCACTAGTTCGCTATTATTAACTAACCCACGTGCTTTATTCAGGCGTCCCGGCTGTCCTGCGGGCGTCCCTCTGTTCCAGGAGCCCGCCACGCGGCCACATCCACGGATCAGCCAGCCAGGCCCCCATTCACCCGGGCTGTTCCAGCCCCCACGGCCACATACACACTGCCACCCAGAGCCCCGCAGGAGCGTCAACCCCGAGAAGCAGAAGGGTGTGTCCAGCCGCCCCCATGGGAGCCCTGCCACGCCCCACGCCGGAGCCGTAACGCACCTACGGCCGCCCAGTTCACACGAGGCCAAGCCCTGTGTCTCTGGAGGCTGCCTGCGCTTGCATGCGAGCGTCTGTTCCCGCCTTGGGTAGCAGGGCAAGTACTGGGGTGCACTCAGCACGCATGGGTTTCCTGTAAGCATCTTCCAGAGACCATGCCACGCTCCGAACGGAAGGGAAGCTGCGTGTCCTCCCCACCCAAGTGCCTACGTGGGGACGGCCGAGGAGCCCCTGGGCCGCAGCCTCATACTGTGCTGGGCGCTGGGGACGGACCGCCGCCCGATCCCACTCAGCCTGGGGGGGCTGGGAAAGCCACTGGGGGGCCTCAACTGAGTCAGGGAGTCGGTGTGAGGTACAGCCAGGCAGCCGGAGGGCCCAGGCAGGTGCTGGGTGGTCAGAGGCGCCCAGGAGGGCAGAAGCCCTGGCTGTGTGTGTGGGGGGGTGTCACTTTGGGGACTAGTGTCCTCCCAACAGGTCTGGGGCACTGGGGAGGGGCCAGGCGGGCGGAGGCCCCAGCCTGAGCTCTGTGGCCTCTGGGGAAGTAAAGGCACGCACGGGCAGGATGCGGGACACGGAGCCTGCTCCACAGCACCCACCTCCCCGCAGGACCAGGGCGAGAAACATCTCAGGTACGACCCTGGGCGACAGCGCTCGGGCTCTGGCCCCCGCCAGCTACACCGGGGTGAGCGACGGAGGCTGCTGCACACCATCTGCACCAGGAAGAGGCCAAGGCGTCCGCGGCGGGGAGCAGGGAGGATGCAGGGAGGCGAGGAGATGGAGGGCGGGGCTCAGGGAGGGGATGAGGGGCGCCAGGAGCTCCCCCAGAGCTGCTCAGGCCGGAGCTCGTGGGGCTGGAACCAGGGAGAGGACAACAGGGCGTGTGAAAAGACGGAGTGGAGATGCGAGATCCGGGGAGTCTGGCAACTGGTCAGGCCAGCGGCCGCGTCCCCAAACAGCCCCGCGGCTAGCGCACACATGACGTGCGGAGACACGTGTCACAGCCAAGGTGCTAACAGGAGCGCCTCGCGCAGACCCCCCGGGCCCATGGGCACAGACGGGAGCGCACGGCGCGTCCCCCAGACCCCCCCGGGCCCATGGGCACGGACGGGAGCGCACGGCGCGTCCCCCAGACCCCCCCAGCCCATCGGCATGGATGGAAGCACAGCGCGTCCCCCACGCACCGGAGCGTCCCTCGGCCGCGGACAGGAGTGAGGCGCCCATACACGCGGCCCTGGGGACGGACCCCGGGCCCACGACGCTCAAGGAGGGAACCGGACACAGAAGGCCACACGGGGTGTGAGTCCACGTGGGTGACACGCACAGAACGGGCTCATCCGCAGACAGGAAGGGGGCTCGGGGGGCGGGGGGCGGGGAAGAAGGTGGGGAGTGGCCGTTGATGGGGGCGGGGACGCTCAGGGAGGGAGCCAGACACGGAAGGCCACACGGGGTGTGAGTCCACGTGGGTGACACGCACAGAACGGGCTCATCCGCAGACAGGAAGGGGGCTCGGGGGGCGGGGGGCGGGGGAGAAGGTGGGGAGTGACCGTTGATGGGGGTGGGGACGCTCAGGGAGGAATCCGGACATGGAAGGCCACGTGGGGTGTCAGTCCACGTGGGTGACACGTCCAGAGCAGGCTCATCCGCGGACGGGAAGGGGGCTCGGGGGGCAGGGGGCGGGGGAGAAGGTGGGGAGTGACCGTTGATGGGGGCGGGGACGCTCAGGGAGGAACCTGGACACGGAAAGCGACGCGGGATGTGAGTCCACGTGGGTGACACGTCCAGAGCAGGCTCATCCGCGGACGGGAAGGGGGCTCGTGGGGGCCATGGGCTGGGAGGGGGAGGAATGGTGAGTGACGGCTGATGGGCGCAAGGTACTTTGGGGTTGACAGAACATTCTTGAACTAAATAGAAACGATGGTTGCAAAACCTTGTGGATGCACTAAAACCACGGAGCTGTTCACCGTTAAGAGCGAATTTCTGGTCTGTGCCGTGTAGCTCGCTAAAGCCATTATTCTAAAAACCACACGGCAGGGAAATGCAGGACGTTGAAGGCTCCCTCTCCAATAAATCACCTAGAAAGAAAGGAGGGGCGCAAAGACTGGGGAGAGCCTGAGAGAGAAACGGACCCGCAGAAGCGTGCACACCCCATCGGGACATTCTGCCAACGCAAAATGTAGTTCAACGCCACGTGGAATCCTGGACGGGACGTTCATGGAAACGCGGGGGCTCAAAGGACAGCCAGCCACCAGGACAGCAGCGCCACGGCCGCACTGACCTCCGGGGGCGGCAAAGTCATCAGATGCCGACGGGTGTGACCACCGCACTCGGTCCTGTCTCTGCACCTTCCTGAAAACCCCAAAGTGGCCCGACATGAAAACCCTACTACGGGGCGCCTGGCTGGCTCAGTCACTCCCCGTCTCCAGGTACACAGCACCGGGTGTCCCTCCTACCGTCTCCCCGCTGTGGGGGGAGGTCGGCACCCTCACCCCGGCCTCACCCCAGGGCTCAGCCCAGGCCCCAGAGCCTCCTGCTCTCTGCCCCTCCCTCCAAGGTCCTGCCCTGGAGGCTCCAGGAGCAGTGTGAGGGTTGGGGGCCGGAGAGTCAGGACGAGGGGTGGAAGCAGCTCAGGGGTCCCCTCTGCCCCAAGGAGCACTGCAACCGAAATGGGCACGCTCCAAGTAAACGAATCTATGGGGGACACACATGCCTGGAGCGTGAACCAGAGACCCCACAGGAAACGGGGTGTCAGAGCATACGACTCTCCTGTACCAGCACCTCTTCTTCCAGCTTCCTCTGCTCCTCTGGGGAGAGCCTTTCTTGACCTCTGCCAGGAGATGGCCAAGAGAATGCAGCCGCCGCCCCCCGAGGGGATCGTCCACAGGCTGCACGTCATGAGCGTCATCGTAAACCCACCCACAAGACACATCGCTTAGAAATAAATAAATAGATCATAATTTAAAGACTTTCTCTTTCTAATTTTTTAAACTTTCAAGCAGGCTCCACGCCCCACGTGGGGCTGGAACTCACAACCTTGAGAGTTAAGAGCCGCACGCTCCACCGACTGAGCTGGCCAGGCGCCCCTAAAAAGCCCACTTAAAAAGCCACAATTTAGGGCGCCTGGGTGGCTCAGTTGGTTAAGCGACTGCCTTCGGCTCGGGTCATGATCCTGGAGTCCCGGGATCGAGTCCCGCATCGGGCTCCCTGCTCGGCGGGGAGTCTGCTTCTCCCTCTGACCCTCCTCCCTCTCATGCTCTCTGTCTCTGATTCTCTCTCTCTCAAATAAATAAATAAAATCTTAAAAAAAAAAAAAAAGCCACAATTTAAGCGAGAGGGGAGCGTGAAGGAATCCAGGGTGGTTTCTCAGGCGTGAAGAGTAGTGTGGTCTCACGCACTCGGGCGCCCCGGGAGCATGCCCTCTGAGGATGAGCCTGACGCCCCAGGGAAACAGTACCGGTGGCTGCTGGGCGCAGAGACCGGCCGGGCCGCAGCTGCAGCCCACCCGCCCCCTGGCGGTGGGCCACGAGCCTGCCGCCCACCAAGGGCCAGCAGGGCGGGAAGACCCTGGGCTGGGCTTCCAAAGGGAATGTGGTTGGCAGGCCGGCTCCTCGGGGTCCCCACTCCCTGCACCGAGCCTTGGGGAGGCCAAGGGGCTCGGGACCAGTGGGGCCTCCCCGGACCCTCGTCCAGTGGCCCCGCCCCACCTGTGCGGGCCAGTACCTAGCGAAAGAACGAGAGCGATGACAAGCTTTTTACGAGAGCAGACGGGGCTACGGCCCCGACCGCAGGTGCTGTGTTCTCCTCCTCCTGATTTTTCAGGAGAGAAAAACCTTTCAGAGCAGCTCTTTGCCCAAGCTCACCAGCTGGTTGGTCACCTGTCCCCTGCCCTGTTTGGCCAGCATTCCAGCAAGAAGGAAAACTCCTGAAGTCCCCTTTCTGCAAGCCGACCCCCGAAGAAGGTGCACACCACCCCTGTCCAGTGTGGAAACCAGGGTGGGGTGGCACTGAGCAGAAAAGAGCTCGCATGGCAGGCCTGAGACTTCCCTCCCCAGAGGGCGGCTCACATGGCTGGCTCTCAGCGGTGTCTGGAACCGACTCCAGGCTCCCACCACCCTCGCTGCCGGGGGGCTCGGGTCCCTGAACCGTCTGTGCAGACACGAGGTTCGGGCTGAGCGCCTGCTCCCCTCCCGGAGTCTGGGGTCCCGACCCAAGCCGGGCAGAGGGGCCCGCGAGACCGACCCCCGCAGAGAACCGGGCGCTGGGTCTCTGCCGGTCCCCTGGAGACCACACCTCACACACACGGTCCTGTCTCGTTTGGGGGGAGCTAAGCGCGTCCTATGGGACACCCCGGGAGAGGACTCTGGAAGGTTTTGCCTGGTGTCCCCGCCCCCGCCCCCCACGCCTCTGCCCTGAGCTCATTTGGCTTCCTCTTCTCTCTGTATAAACCACGGCCGTGGGGTCGACCGTCTGCTGAGCCTGGGGGTCCTCCCGGCACATCCCCGCGCCTGGGGCCCCAAAACAGCCCTTCACTGGCCCTCCAGACCCAGATTTGGGAGGGCAACAGCCAAGAAGAAACCCGAAACCGAGGGTCCACACAGACCTCATCTGCTCACCGGGCAGGAAGGAAGCAACAGGGGAAGGCTGTGCTGAAAACAATCCCGGGGACAGCAGAAGGTGACTCGTAAACTTTGAAAAGGGGACGGAAAACACAGAAAAGAACAGACAACAGGAAGGAGCCGAGGGGCACGCTCAGGATGTCACGAACACCCTAAGGGATGGCAAACGAGAGGCTGCACAGGGCACACCTGAGCAGAGACAGGACTCCAGAGCACAGACAAGGCCGAGCACACGCACGCGCAGCCTCACATGTCGCCCACAGGATACTCGACACCAAAGACACCACCCACTGACAGCCAGCAGCCCGACAGGCACCCACATTCTCGTCCTGGGACCTGGGACGTGTCCCCAGAGGGGACCCTGTCACGGCCCCGAGGAGGGGGTGACCCTGGGTTTCTGGGGGGCCCGGCGTCCTCACGAAGTCCTCAGGAGAGGGAGGCAGAGGATGGGAGTCCCAGAGATGGGCATACCCCACACTGCTGGGGGTGAGGATGGGGGGGGGCCGTGGGCCAGGAAGAGGCCGGAGCCGGGTCTCCCGGGGGGGACCAGCCCTGCCCGCGCTGGGGTTTGGTTCCATGAGGCCCACTTCAGACTCCTGACCCCAAAAGTGTGAAGTAACTATTTAAATCACTAAGCTTATTGTAATCTGTGACAGCAACCACAGGACTAGGTATAAAACCTTAAAAGCAAACAGAAAACCTGCTCTCCCTCGGTGGCAGTGTCCCAGGAGACCATCCCGGGGAGGCCCTTGTGCTGTCCGCTGAGCTGCTCCTCCCAGACACCCCCCAGGCCCACTTCCCAGCCTTCCTGAGTGCGTCCTGGGCAGGAACCTCAGGGGCAGGCCCCGGGTGCGCGTGGGCAGCAGACTCCAGACCCAGCCCCGTGGGTGCCGCCCCGAGAGCTCACGCACGAGGGCACACGCGCCTTCTCTTACGCCCTGGGAGACTCGGGCTCTGCTGTCCCACAGTGAACGCGCGTCACACCCCTGCACTGCAGCCCGGGCTCCCAGGGGCCTGGCTCACCATGCACCCCATCCCGTGAAGCCGATCGCCTGGATGACTGTCAAGACAAACTGGGCTGCAAAGACGAAGAAGAACGCCATGAAGTTGAAGGAGCTGTCGGCTCTAGAGAGAGAGAGAGAACAGCTGTCACGGCAGCCCACGTGCGGCAGGGCCAGCGGGGACGGGGCTGCCGCCCTCCCCAGAGGCGCCAACCCGAACGCGCCATCCCACGCTGCTCAGCCTGGGCTCGGACTCTACGGGGCCACCACACGGCTTCTCTGGGAAACACTGCGCCAACAGCTTCCTGGCTGCAAAGGGGTCTGAGAGATCTCAGTGTGAGCGACGACGCTCATGTGGGTGCTGGAGGTTAACCCGGGGGAAGGCGTGTCGCAGATTTAAGGGGCTCTGCATGCTCCCCGGAGGACGGGGGGCAGCCGCCAAGGGGCTGCGGCGCAGGCCACTGAAGCAGGACGGGGCCTGCAGGACCCTGAGGGCAGTGGGAGGAGGCAGAGCGCTCACAGGCCGTCAGCAGGCCCCTCGCGTTCCTGAACGAGGCAGCCGGAGCCAACCCAGAACCTGGAGGAACGGCCTGTCTAGTTCCAGCACACACGTGGGTTTCTAGGTCTTGTCTCCAAGGAGGGCCTCAGGGACACTGTCTGATGGACTCTGAGAGCCCGGGATTCGGGAACCATCTAGAGGCAAACACTGCAGCTCCCGAGTAACAGGGGGCCCGCTGGGGGCGAGTGTCCACAGACAGGAGCATCCCGTGGCCGTGAGCAGGAGCGAGGCACCCACGTGCACGGCCCCGGGGACGGACATCGAGCCCACGACGCTCAGGGAGGGAGCCAGACACAGAAGGCCACACGGGGTGTGAGCCCATGTGGGTGACATGTCCAGAACAGGCTCATCCACGGACAGGAAGGGGGCCCGTGGGGGCCGGGGCTGGGGGGTGACAGCTGACGGGGACGGGGTTGCCTTGGGGGTGATGGAATGTTCTGGAACTACACAGAAGTGATGGTTCCACAACCCCTTGAAGACACCAGAAACGCTGCTACGAGTAGGTGAGCAGACAGATGAGTTAGTTACTAAAAGACAGAACAGGCCCTCGTTGGCCGTAGTCTGCAGCCCCTGGATATGAGCTGTCCCCAAACCCAACAGAACGGTTCTGGGCACGTGCGCAAGACGCCAGGCCAGCGAGGGCGCAGGCCCCGAGCGTGCGGTCAGGCGTCTGGCTCCTGCCGGTGCTGAACACCAGACACTCCCCGAGGCCCCCTCAGAGATGCAGCCCGCCCCACGCCCCAACTTACCGGAAGGCCTTGTACACAGGCCGGAACCAGCACACGTAGCCACAGGGGGAGAAGAGCAGCAGCCAGACCAAGGCCAGGCCAACGTTGGCCCCCGAGCCACCACCGATCCACCAGGCCAGGCAGGCGATAAGGTTGACCCCCAGGGTGGCACAGTAGACTGGAGAGGGGGGCGAGGAGGGTGAGCGGGGACGGAGGGCGGCAGGCCAGGACCCCTCCCCCCCGCCAGGCTCTGGTCAGCATGGGAGTCACGGAGCCAGAGGAGGACTCGGGACATCACTGTATTAGAAAGGCGAGGTTCAGCCCAAAATTCGGGCAAACTTTGTGGTGCGGGCTGTCCCGGGCCGGGGTCTGAGTGGTGCACAGGGAGGTCCCGCCCCCGCCCCAGGGCTCACACAGCCACAGCCGGTAGATTCTCTTCACCAGAAGCTGGTGCTCGATGGGGATCTCGTCGGAGATGTTCTGGTAGAAACAGGGCTTCAGGGGGATAAACTTGGGCAGCGGCGGGAAGTTGTTCTCCTTTTCTGCAAGGACAGAAAACACCAGGGAACGAAACCAGGCGGGGAGCCTCAGTGACAGCCCCAAACACGTCCCCGTCCCTGTCCTCAACCTGCCACATGTCCCCTCAAGCAGCAGAGGGGACCTTGTCACGGCTCCCGAGGAGGGGGTGACCCTGGGCTCCCAGGGGGCCCGGCGTCCTCACGAGGCCCTCACGAGGGGGAGGCAGAGGGTGGGAGTCCCAGAGATGGGCAGACCCCGCGCTGCTGGCGGTGAGGATGGAGGGGGGGCCGCGGGCCAGGAAGAGGCCGGAGCCGGGTCTCCCGGGGGCCCTGGGGGGACCAGCCCTGCCCGCGCCGGGGTTTTAGGACTTCTGACTTCACAACTTGAAATGGTAAATGTGGTTTATTTTTTTTTTTTTTTAAGATTTTATTTATTTATTTGAAAGAGAGAGAGCATGAGCAGGGAGAGGGAGATGGGGGAGGGGGAGAAGAACAGAGAGAAGCAGGCTTCCCACTGAGCAGACGCGGGGCTCGATCCCAGGACCCCGGGATCATGACCTGAGTGGAAGGCAGACACTTCACCGACTGAGCCACCCAGGCGCCCCAGAAAAAAGTGGTTTAAATCACTCTGCCGTGGTCATTCCTGAGAGCAGCCAGAAAAGACATGCAGACTCGGTGGCAGAGCCAAATACCGTTAACACCTGACTCCAGAGAAGATTCTGGCACTCTGAATGCATGAGCTTCCTGGGGCAGCTCTGACAAATGACCACCAGCCAGGAGGTTCCAACCACAGGACTTTATTCTCCCCGGTCCCGGAGCGCAGAAGTCTGAGGTCGAGGTGGGGCAGGGCCACGCTCCCTTGGAGGCTCCAGGGGACAGTCCCTCCTGGCTCTCCCAGCTCGTGGGGGCTCCAGGCGTCCCTCGGCATGCAGCCCCATCACCCCATGCCTGCCTCGGTGGTCACGCGGCCACCTCCCCTGTGCGTCTTTATGAGAACACCCGTCGTTGGATTATGGCTACCCTCCTTCAGCGTGAGCTCCTCTTTACTAACATACACGCAACGATTCTGCTTCGCAATAAAACTCTACTTCACGGGTACAGGGGTGAGGATCAAACACGTCTTTTGGGGACAGGACTTAGCCTGCAGCACAGTATGGTCAGTGATACCCCTCAGCCTTTCAACATCACCCCTATGGCAGGACACATCTCCTGAGCACCTCGGAGGACCAGACTGTGAACAAAAGACGGGGGGGGCTGCCCTCCTGGCCAGGGGGAGACCAACAATAATCACAATGAACGAGCAAGTGTGGCATGCTGGAAAATGCTGCGTCCGTGTTGGAAGGGGGCACCAGGGATGTGTGTGCTGGGGGGTTGCTTAGCTGTGCTCTAAGAGGAGGGCAGGGGCGCCCGGGGGGGCTCAGTCGGTTAAGCATCTGACCCTTGATCTCAGCTCAGCTCTTGATCTCACGGTCGTGAGTTCAAGCCCTGCACTGGGCTCCATGCCGCGTGTGAAGCTTGCTTAAAAAGAGTCGTCAGGGGGCGCCTGGGTGGCTCAGATGGTTAAGCGTCTGCCTTCGGCTCGGGTCATGATCCCAGGGTCCTGGGATCGAGTCCCATGTTGGGCTACCCCTGCTCAGCGGGGAGCCTGCATCTCCCTCTCCCTCTGCCTGCCTCTCTGCGTACTTGTTCTGTCAGATAAATAAATAAAATCTTTAAAAAAAATAAAAAATAAAAATAAATAAACAAACACTCCAAAAAACAAAAGAAACAGGCCAGTGCGTTCTGGCCTCAGTCTGAGTGCCAGCTGATCGAGAGGCAGTGGGGAGATCAGGGCCGAGGGGTGGACAGGTGGAGTCAGACCACACCTTACTGGCCACGGAGAGGCCACGGGCATTTACCACGTGACACAGGAAGCCACAGCGTGTCCCAAGCCCGAGCAGAGAGGGGAGTCGATCCCACTCTGAGCTTGCCGGCTCCAAGCCCCTGCGATCAGATGTGGGAGGAGGGCCTCCCCGGCAAGGACTCACAGGCTCCATGCCACGGTCTCCGGTCACTACCCTTCAAGGCTCCTGTCGAGGCCCCAAGAGGACCCCACCTGGCCCGCGGCCCCCTGCCCCCCCTCCTCCCAACGTCTGACCCCCACCCCTCCTGCAGCTCACAGCAAGAACGGGGCGATGCTTCCAGCGGTCAGGCTGCCAGCACACTGTGACACGGAGGTGGGAACCCCACCCCCAAGTCACACACCCTCTGAAACCCTGCTTCTCAGCAGGTAAGAAGCCCCGGGGCAACATCCTGTGCACACTTAGAACTTGGGCACCCAGAGCCCCACCCCACCCTCCACCTGAGTACAGGGGCAGATGCTGGGACGGCAGGGGTGGAGAGGCGTGGGGCGACCGTGCGCGGACGGTGTGCGCTCCTGGCGCCTCACCGTGGCCTTGGGGCCCCAGGGCCGCCCTCACTTTACCTGCACGCTCCATCCCTCCTTCCGAGCAGGACGAGGTGGGCACACCGTGAGAGAGTGAGAGTGTCATCTGACGCGTGTAGGTATGACCCCAGACGCCCGCACCTCACACGTTACGTTGACGACCACGACCAAGTGGGCCCCAAGGCAGAAAGCCCGGCCAGGCTGACAAGTGCCATGGAAACGGGAATCTCTCTCTCATCCGGCTCAGAGCGAGGAAGTGACCCCAGCACCCTCCATGCAAGGAGGAGAATGGTGTGTGCCCCCCCGGGGGGGGCATTAGGGTGGGTCTGGCCACTAGGGGACACTTCCCAGAGGATCCCCCGCTGCAGGGCCTCTGGGGGACACTCACCAGACATTTCCGCTGTGACAACTGGGCGGGGCAGAAGCCTACGGCCACCTGGAGGGGAAACAGCCATAGTCAGGAGGTCCCCGAGGCCGTCGGGGACCCCGACCCCAGCTGCGCGCCCAGCAGCAACCGCAGCTAGAGACCTCACCTTCAGAGCCCCCCGGGCCGCGTCTGTGCTGGAAGGAGAGGGGTCGGGCTGCTGCCCCAAACACACCTGGCCGGAACCAAAACGTTTCTGGGACCCCGTGGGCCCACCCCGCCTCCTCGTCCCGCCTCCTCGTCCCCAACCCCCCCAAACTTCCTCTTTATCCATGAACAGCTGCACGCACCTCCTCAGGGCCACTGAGAACGGGGTTCGCGCTCACTGCTGTGGAACATTACACAAGTCACACAGCCTCTCTGGTCTGCACTTCTGTCCCTGCGAGGCTGACAGAGCTGACAACCTCGCCACAACCCAAGTGGGGCAGCTGGGGACGCACCTGGCACCCGGTGCCCTTCCTACATGGAACCAGGTGAGCTGGCGTCACGGAGGAGCCCCGGAGAGCAGGCTGCGGGGACTTTGCCAGCTCCCTCGGGGCCCTGTGCTGGGCACTGCCATCTCCAGGACATAAGCCGGGCTCATGTGGCCATGACCGCCTCACTGGGATGGGAACCCATGGACGACTTCCTCACCCAGTCTATGTAACAAGGTTCCAGCGACACTAGCTCCCAGGGTCCACGCCCCCTCCCCAGGAGACCCTCTCTGGCCCGGCCCAGTCCTCTGTGCCCACACGCCTGGTGGGCTCACAGCCACCCCACTGCCCGTCCACGGCACTGGCCTGTGGGCAGACCCCCTCCCCCGCCCTGTGCCTAGGGCTCAAGGGGAGGCTCAGAGCAGGGATGAACTGGGCCCCACAGTGGCCCCATGATCCAAAAATGCACCTTTGCCAGACAAACCCACATTGGTTCTAGCGCTGACGGCTCTGCGGCTGATCCCCCCGCCCCGCCCTCCATGAAGAACGGGAAATGGGATGACAACCGAAGAAGCCTTTCGGGGAGCTGATTCCAGGCTGACAGGTGTGCCCCCGTGTAAATACCCACTGGCCAGCCACACCCTTCCAGACCCAGGACACAGGCAGGGAGGCGCCCGGAAGGGGGGCACTCTTCCCCCACTTGGCTCAGAAGCTCCCCTTCCCGTGCACAAACCCCAAACCTTGGCAGAAGTGGTCACCCAACCCAGGTGCCCTCGGCCACCATGGTCCCCTGCCACTGTCAACAGACGCCAACCTGGTTTGGGGCTGTTTATTTTCACAAACAGAGCCGTCTCCTGACACCCGGGACGGAGGGGATTCTGTCCCGGCAGACCCTCGGGCTTGGGGCAAAAGGTGGCTGGCTGGAGAAGTCCGAGTGCCCAGCCCCCCGCCCAGGCTGGACCCCACGAAGCTCAAGCCCAGGGAAAAGCTCAGTCGGGGCAGAAACGCGTCCCCACACACCAGCGGGAACAGCGTGGGGTCCGGCCTCGGGGTGGAGACACGCGTCGTCCTTAACACTGACCCGCAGGGTCACGGCCGCCTGGGCGACAGTGAGAGAGGCGGAGGCCTGCCGGGGATGCCTGAGGGGAGGCTGAGCCGCTGGCGGCAGGGCAAGCTCCAGAGGCAGCGGGCACGGCCGCCTACGAGCCAGGGTCCAGCCGGCGGCACTGGGCCTCCAGGACCCCACGGAACACCTGGAAGCGGTGGTTGAGATCAGGCCGGGCGTGGATGCGGAAGCGGGTACCCAGGGCGCCGTCGGGTGAGGGCGCCCCATAGAAGACACGCTGCACGCGGGAGTGCACCAAGGCCATGGCACACATGGCACAGGGCTCGCGGGTGATGTAGAGGTCGTAGCCAGTGCACACGTAGGGCAGGCTGTCCGCACACACGTCCCCGTCCTCGTCCAGCTTGCGCACAGAGCCCACGCGGACGCCCAGGGGGGCGAGGGCTGGGGCGAAGGAGCAGGCAGGGTAGGGGCCGAGGTGATAGGCGCCCCGGCCCTGGCCCTGGGCCACCAGGTCAATGCACACCATGGTGGCGTGCAGCAGGGGGCTGGCCGTGTTGCTGCAGTCGTGGCCGGTGGCCAGCACGCGGCCGGAGGACGGGTCCACCACCACAGCCCCCACTGCCCTCAGGCCCCGCGCCGCCGCCTGCCGCGCGGCCCACACAGCCCGCTCCATGTGGCCCTGCATCGCCGTCTGCTCCTGCGTGGAGAACAGCCGCCCAGCCAAGGCGCGAGTCACCTGCCTATCCTCGTGGAAGGACGTGGGCCAGTGGGCGCGCGCCTCCTCGAACTGGCCCCTGGTCAGGGGCGGCCGGGCTGGCACCGGCACCAGGAAGGGCTGCCCCAGGCCCCGGGGGTCCACGGCCGGCTGCGGGAGGAGCTCAGCGAGCGATCTGGCACCTGCGGCCGGCCCCGCCAGGCACAGCAGCAGCTCCAGTGCGTGCGGTCGGCGGGCATCGCGGCTGGGCCGCACCCTCTTGAGGTGAGGCTGGGCGCGCAGGGGGTGGACGGCCGACACCTCCCGGAGGAGGCGTGACGTCTGGCGCTTGTCGAGGATGGGTGCGGCGTAGGCCAGCACCAGCTCCACGTCTTCGGACTGCTGCTCGGACAGGACCGGGAGGGCTTGCCACGGCTCGGGCTCTCGCTCAGGGCTCCGGGTCTTCTCATCCCCACGCTGCTCCATGAGGCCCGGGGCGGGGTCCTTCCGCAGCACGGCTCCGACTGTGGGAGACAGAGATCGGAGCAGAGCATCATCCGTCAGGTGCAGAAGGCCCGGGTGAGCCGGAGGAGTCCGTCCCAGGTCCCAGGAGCGTGCGGCATCTGAAGGCTCGTCCGAGAGCTCGGCCCGCAGAGAACGCATCACCGGCCATGCTCGCGCTCAGATCCTGCCAACTCTTGGTTTGCAGAACTTAAACCATCACTGACAACTTTGTCCCCCGTGACACGTGTCACCGTGAACAGGCACACCGGGTCTCGGAGACTCAGTGAGAAAAAGCACGAACGGTCTCGTCAACTGTCTTCATGTTGGCCGCGTGCTCAGGTGACAACACTAATTTCACCTGTTTCTTTGTGCACTTTTTGGGACGGTGGCTTCTAGAATGTTTCACGTTATGTCCGTACCTCGCATTGTGTCCCTGTCGGTCAGGACCGGCTTGGATAACGTCAGACCTCAATTACTGGTCATCTCGACGTGACTCTGGAGAATCCTTGTTGCCACCGTGTGCCCACACCACACGGCCTGCTGGCGTCCTGCAGTGGACCGCCCCCCTCCCCGCCCCTCCCCGTGGACAGGGAAAGGCTGCAATTGTCTGACAACTGTGGGCTTCTACCTTTCACGATGCGCCTCCCAGCACGCTCCTCTGCTGCACAGAACCGCGGGCATTCATCAGCCAGGCCCGCTGGAGGACACGGGACATCCTCGCCCACCGTGCTATGTCCTGAGCTCACGCTACAGTCTGGTTAAGCACGCAGAACCAGGGGTGCTGGTGGCAGCCACGAGGACTGGAAGGCGTAGAGGGCCCCCGGTGCCAGGCAGGGCCCACCGGAGGGTCCACGGTGCCGACTCTGAATCTGCTCCCAGCACACACCATGCCCAGGACCCCACAGCCCGCATGGGCCGCAGAAGCTCCCAGTCTCCATGGCAAAATACACGTCTCACTTGCTCCTCCAAAAGTACAACTCTGTCCAATGAAAACAAAACAGGTGACAAGTAAAGGAGCCTGCCACTGGGACACTGCTGGCCGGGGTGCCGGCTCCTAGGTGGGGTGGGTAAAAACCCCAGCAGTCACTGTCCAGCCAGCAGCTGCTCCACTCCACGCCCAGCCACACGCCCAGGAGCACAGAGAACACACGTCCACAAAGAAGCCTGCACACGCCTGCTCACGGCAGAGCGTCCACCAGCAGCCAGAAGGTGCGCTCACGGCCCGAGTGTCCTTCGATGGATGAACAGATACACACACGGTCCCCCACACGCAGGCATGTTACTCGGCCATGAACAGGAGCAAGGCGCCCACGCACACTGCCCCGGGGACGGACCCCGAGCCCACGATGCTCAGGGAGGGAACCAGACACAGAAGCCACACGGGGTGTGAGTCCACGTGGGTGACACGTCCGGAACAGGCTCATCCACGGATGGAAAGGGGGCTCGTGGGGGCCGGGGGAAGGGGGACTGGATGTGACTACTAATGGGGATGGGGCTCTTTTGGGGGGCGGGTGGAATGTTATGGAATAAGACTGTGATGACAGTTCCACAACCCCACAAATGTCCTAAAAACCACAGATCTGTCCGTTTTAAATGGGTGAACTGCCCCTCAGTGAAGCTGCTAAAAAAAGCAGGGAGAAGTAAGGACGTGGGGAGGGGTAAGGACACGGGGCAGTTGCCAGGTCAGCAGCCTCCAAAGAAGGCCCAATGCCTCCGATGACAGCTGCTGGTACCGTAGCCGCCACGTGTCCTCCCAATGACCCAGGAGGGAGCTTGGGGAACTGGCCCCTTTCTGCAAGACAAGATGCGGCTCTGTGAGCGGGAAGGACGTGCCTGGAGCCACAAGGCAGGGAAGGCGACTCAGGACCTGACCAGGCAGTCATTCAACCGCTCTCAGACTGCCTCCTGAGCCCACTGCACAGATACGGAAGACAGCTTCCGCAGACGGGGTCCCGCCTGAGCTCCCAGGCCCAGCGTCCGGAGGGGAGAGCCAGCCCGGGGGCAAACAGCGTCCACAGACCAGTGTTCTGTTTCAACACGCCAGGGATGTGGAGTGGGCCGGGGGCCGCGGGGCACCTGGGCTCCTCTCTTGTCCGCTGCTCCGGATCGAGCCCCAGCCTCCGGCACCTGGCCGCCTCCGCACTGCCCGCACACACCCTCGGCTGTTCTTGCCAGCCCGGTCCCGTCCCTGGCACCCCCGGGGCAGACACAGCCTGCTCAGAACAGCCCGTTCACCTGCGCTGTCGCAGCGCCTGTCTCTGGCCCCGGAGTCCTGGGCCGGGAGCCCACAGGGTCTGGGGGGCCAGAGACACAGGACCCTAACACAAGTCCCCTGGGCAGCTTAGGGCCCCCCGCGGCCCCCTCCGCGATCGGGGTACTCCGGGCGCTGGGAGCAAGCCGGAAATGGCACCGATTCAGGCAGTGCAGTCGCCCCGCAAGGCAACACCCCGTAAACTCACTCAGGCCCGTCTCACCAGGGGACTCGGCAGGCAGGCCAGAACCTGGGTGGGACCCCACCCTCAGCGGCCCCCTCCGAGAAGTGGGGACCCAACACCGTCACGCAGGGCAGTCTGGGCCAGGAAGGGACGCAGGCCCCACGGGGCCCCACACGAGGCCCCCGGCCCGGCGACGCCCTTGCGGGGCGGCCGGCGTCCCGGAGGGCTCCTCGGAGGCAGCGACTCGCAGCGCGCCCTGGAAGGCAGGCGGCCCTGAGCAGCACCGCCAGCGCCGGAGTCCCGGGCCGCCCGCAGCGCGCCGGGGGCTGGTTCCAGGGCGCTGCCCTCTGAGCCCCTGACGAGCCCCCCCTGCTTATACGGACTTGGCCTACGGCGGGGCGTCCTGCCACGCGCCCTTCCGTGCACGAAAGTTCCAGAACGTCGGGCATGCGGGGTGCGGGAGGGAACCCTTCTGCCCGGAGCCACGGCAAGAGAAGACCCCGAGCACTCACACCGCCGGTAAGCGCCGGGAGGGGCTCACGTCCACCGACGTGGAAGACGCCTGCGGGGCGGGACGCCGGTAAACGCGCGGCCCGGAGGCAGGGGGCTGGCCGCGATGCCCCCAAGCGCGCGCGCGGGGGGAGGGGCCGAGCGGAGCAGCTGGACGCACGGGGCCTCCAGCCCCGGCCGCAGGGGCGCGCGCACGCGCACAAGGCCTACGGGCGCGGGCAGCGGCCCGCGCGCACGCGCCGATGCCCCCGGCGGCCTCCTCGCGCCCGGCGCGGCCGGCGTCCCCCGCCAGCCGAGATACGACCCCCCGCCCGTCGCCACCCCGGCTCGCCGTCCGTGGGAGCCCGGGTCGCGAGCGCCGAGCCCCCGGGGCCCCGCGCTTACCTGACGAACCGCAAGCGAGCGCAGCGCCTCGCGAGTCTTAGCAACCGACCGCCTGCCCCGCCTCCGCGCGCGCCGCGGGGCACGACGGGAGCGTAGTTCTAGGGGCGGGGTCGGCGGGGAACAGGGGCGGGGCCGGAACTACAATCCCCACAAGGCTGCGCGCCGGGCCACGGAGTGCCGCCCATCTCCCGAGCACGGCTCGGGAGACCGGCCGGAGCGCCGGGAGCGCCGAGTAGAGGGTTCGAGGTCCGGGGAAGAGGACCCTGGGGGCTGTTGGGGAAATCCGGCTAGAGAGACGGAGGCAGAAGCGTACGCGACACCCTGCAGCGCTCCCCGAGCGCAGTTTGCTGCTGCCGCGCGGCTCCAGAGGGGCCGCGCGCCGAGACCTGCGTGGTCAGGTTCTCATAGTGGTCTAGGACTGGGCGACTCCTGGCCTCAGTTTTCCCATCTGTACAGTAGGCGAAGGTCCCGGGACCTCTTGACTCTTTAAGGCAAAACATGCTAATTTTATGAGCAACTCCAGGGATTCATTCTGGTCAAACAGATTTATTAACCCAAGGATTCTCTACATTGGGCCACGTTTGGGGACATTTGTGGTGGTTGTGACCCGGGGGCGGGGGAGGGTGCACTTGGCATCAAATGGCGTCAAAACCTGGAGGCCAGGGATGTCGTTCAACACCCTGCGGTGCACAGGACACAACCAACCCCAAGCGTACACAGCGCAAAGGTTGGAAGATCCCGGTTTGACCCCACTGCTGAGTAAGGAGGAAAATTCAGATCTAAAAGGGCCCGGAGGGGCGCCTGGGTGGCTCAGTCGTTAAGCGTCTGCCTTCAGCTCAGGTCATGATCCCGGGGTCCTAGGATTGAGTCCCGCATCGGGCTCCCTGCTCCACGGGAAGCCAGCTTCTCCCTCTCCCACTCCCACTCCCCCTGCTTGTGTTCCCTCTCTCTCTGTCAAATAAATAAAAATAAAATCTTTAAATAAATAAATAAATAAATAAATAAATAAATAAATAAATAAATAAATAAATAAATAAATAAATAAAAGGGACCTGAAGGGGGAAATTCCATGTTTCCATTGTCTCCCTGTTTCCTTCCTGCAGGAACCAAGGAATTCCCCCTGAAGATCTGTCAAATGTCTATCCTGAGAGGGGGCGGCTGGAGGGGAGAACCCTCCTCCCCGGGGTTCCTGCTGCCCCCAGGCTCCTCAACCCTGCAGGGCCCTAAGAATCCATCCTGGTGGATTCCCTTCCTTTGCAAAGCATCGCCTCAAGTCCCCATTTATTCCCGGGAAAACAACACTCCAGGAAACAATTTTGCTTGCCCCTGGTCACCTTCCTTTTTCTCTTCCAAATAAAGTCAGATTAAAGTGTGCTTTTGTTTTCTTCTTTACACATCTCTCCAGCCCTGGGTGTGCCACTCAAGCTAGCCTAGAGCGCCTGTTTTGCTGATTATTTTTTTAAAATTCCAAGGTGTTTGATTGGCATGTTGTTAAAAGCAAAGACTCAATTTTCTTCATGTAAAAAAAAAAAAATCTCTTCAACGTATTTTTCTGCCTATTTTTTTAAAGATTTTATTTATATTTATTTATATTTATTTATAGATAAAGGGTGGGAATTCAAGTATCAACGGGTGAATGAATAAACAAAACATGGTCCATCCAGACACTGGAATATGATTCAGCCTTAAAAAGGAAGGGATCCTGACCCCTGCTACAACGAGGATGGACCTTAAAGACACTGTGTTCAGTGAAATAAGCCAAACACAGAAGGATAAACACTATGATTCTACTCGTATGAGTCCCAGATAGTCAGACTCATAGAGAACGAAAGCAGATGTTGGGAACCAGCGGGGAGGGGGGAGGGAGAGTGACTGCGAATGGGTATGGAATTTCTTTCTGGGGTGATAAACATGTTCCATGACTAGATGGAGTTGATGGTTATGCAATAGTGTGCGTGTGCTCTCTATGCCTCTCAAGGGTACTCTCTAAAACAGTTAATTTTATGTTATGTGAAATTTGCCTCAAAAACATTTTTAAAGACATACAGGAAGAAAAGATCTTTGGGGCACCTGGTGGCTCAGTCAGTGAAGTGTCTGCGTTTGGCTTGGGTCATGATCTCAGGGTCCTGGGATTAAGCTCTGAATCAGACTCCCTGCTTAACGGGGGGGGGGGGGAGGGGGGTGTTTCTCTCCTCCTTCTCCCTCTGTCGCTCCCCCTGCTTGTGCTCTCTCTCTCTCTCTCAAATAAATAAATAAAATCTTAAAAAAAAAAAAAGAAAAGAAGATCTTTGCTTCCCTGTGTCCTGTCTGTGTGCCACCTCCATCTCCTTGCAGGCCAGGAATGGACCAGTTCTCTGAAATCCTCTCTCTGCAACCTTCAGAGGTTGGCTGGCCCCCAGCCCACCTGTCTGCTGTGTGAGCGCCCCCCCCAACCCAGGGGACCCTGCTGTCAGGCTGTCCATGCAGACACTGGGCCTATAAAATGCATCCCTGCATCCACACAAAGAACTCCACTCTGGGCAGGAAACCCAAAGGAGACCTCCCCCACCCCAAATCTTCCTAACAGAAGTCAAGCACAGAGTGCATCCAAAGGGCAGCGCTGAGTCCAGGAGGGGAAAGGCAGTGTGGTCCAGTGAGCAGAGCCAGGCGGCCTACAGTGGCCCAGAGCTGGAAGCCCCCCACATGCAGGGGACTGTAAGTGTTGTGCTTTGCCTGCTAGGCACCTAACTCCTCTTCTGCACAGGGCAACCCACCTTTTTTGTCCATACAGTTCCCGGGACTGCTCTGCCGCCTCAGCCCCATCAGTCAGAGCATTTCCCTCCCCCTGGGCTCGGCGATTGGTTCAGAAATGGAGTTGGGACTCAACGGGACCAATGAGAGTCAGCCTTGGGATTTTGTTTGAAATGCAAGCGGAGTTCTTCTCATTGTGCTGTAGGGTTAAAGCCTGGAGCTTCCAGAAGTAATTTTTACTACCCAATAGTGGAGCTTGTCTGAGAATTAAGCCCCAACAGAAGAGAACAGATCCCAAGGGGAAAGAGAGGTCCATGCCTTGGTGACATTGTTTGAGCGCCTGGATCTAGCCCTGCCTGAATCAGGAGCCCTTGGGCTTTCCTGCAATTTGTCTTGTTTGGTGTGGTTTTTATGACTTAAGCTAATTTGAGTTATGATTTCAGTCCTTTATAAACCACGAGCTTCAGTCAATAGGGTCCCTTCTGTTTTGACATTGCTTGTCATGTAGCGCCTTTCACAAGTCACGTGATCCTCAAAACTCACGGTGACAGGCAAGTCGTGCCCAGAACCAACAGGTTGGGAAAACCTGGGAATTGGTTCCCCAACTGTAAGCTGAGTGGCAGCAGAAAGTGCCCCCGAGTGTCAGAAGCCTGGGTCGGCTGCTGACGGGCGGGAGGGCCATAAGCTCTTCCATACAGCCACAAAGCAGTCAGCAGATGAGTCTGGAGAGGGGACGGGCGTCCCCACAAGCCTGCCCCTCTCTCCACGGGGCCGGGGCGAAAATCAACGTTCCTCACGCCAAGTTGTGCGGCTTTTGTTGATCTGGCTCATCATCCTGTTGATGTCTGAGGATGCTCTGGACGTTGGTGTGCGCCAGGTGCTTCCCACTCTGTGGGGATCCTCAGACCAGGCTCTTCCTGGAAACGCAGGGGGGAGGGGTGGAGAGCATTTCCTTCAATGCCCAGGGAAGGCCGATGAAAGCCACTGGAGATCCGCAAGGAGGGAAAGTTGCCGCGTCCTGCTTCCTGAAGATTATAGGACACTTTGCTGCCCCCAGCAGGTCTCTCTGCTCGTCAGCCAGACCGCAGGGGCGCTCCTTGCCCCTCTGACGCTCACGCACCCACACAGCTGATCACAGGCCGACCATCTGCCACTTCCCCCGCAGCCAGAAAACACTGGCTTCTGAAAAACAAACTGAACTGTCCTAAAGTTCTGAAACCCAACCTCTTTGCTCACATCTCTTTAACCCTTACTTGGCACAGAATTATAGAACCCACCTGGTTCTCTGCTTTCCCAGGCCCCAGAGCTGAGACTAACAACAACAATTAGTCACCATTAATATTTACAGAGTGCTTGTTTCAAAGCACTTGACATCATCTCCTTTGTCCTCACGGCAATCCTACACAGCAGGGCGGCAAGTAGCCTCGTTTTAAAGATGAGAAAACATTGCATCCACCGTCCTTTGGATCATTTGACGCTTATGATTAGGTTTATGCGTGTGCCTTCCCCACTCACACCCCAAGGCAGGGTTTGCTTGCAGCTTGCATCGAGGTGCCCTGTCCAGACAGGGCCTGAGTTCCACGACCTTGAATGACCTCTTCACGATTCATGGGGCTGGAAATGCACCCCAGGGGGCACAGAGTTCCAATGGACCTCGCCGAAAGCCCGGCCATGTGGGACTGGGGTGTCGGGAGAAGCCCCATTTCGGGTAGTCCTTATTCTGTCCCAGCCTACCCTTTTGTTTGATTGTCTTCCAGCACTCGTTACTACCTGGCGATATCTTACTTATCTAGAATGTCTGCTCCAGGGCGCCTGGGTGGCTCAGATGGTTAAGCATCTGCCTTCGGCTCAGGTCATGATCTCAGGGTCCTGGGATCGAGTCCCGCATTGGGCTTCCTGCTCCTTGGGAGCCTGCTTCTCCCTCTGCCTCTCTCTCTCTCATGAATAAATAAATAAAATCTTTAAAAATAATAATAATA